GACACAGTGGGAAAAGAACACTAGTGTTAAACTAAGAAGCCACCACAATAAACACAAAGGGCTGCACTGCTGAGAAACCCTCATGGCTTCTCTTCCCTTCCCTCTCCCCAACTCTATCACTTCAGAGGAGCAAACCAGGATAAAGTGGAGGTATAATTGACAGGAGCCAGACCATAGCTCCTCTGTTCCCTTCCTTGCAGTCATGGAACCAGGGCAGGGAGGGGAGGGAGATCCAAAGCAAGTTTGATATTGAGTTGTGTGATTGAGTGGAACTGAGCTTGTAAATAACTGAAATGACCAGGGAGTTATGGGAACAGCTCAGGTTATCATTAGAGGATTTGCTATACAATGGGAGATGATTCACTAGGGCTGGGCTCACACTAATGTTACAGAGGAAACAAAAGCTTCATAGGCATACCTCGGGGCATAGGGATTCCGATTTGGCAACTACCTATTTTCCTCCAGAGTTACCTCTGCAACCTCTCTTGTCCTGCCCACACTGTGACGATGGCAGAGCTCCTAAGTCCCCAGTTACCTGAGAGGCAGCTCCCAGGTGGGGTGCTGAAAACTCACAGAAGAAGCGGCATTCATTTTTCCCTTCTCTGAGAGGGGAAAATGGTAATTATCATGAACATGCTACATCTGTCAGAAGTCAAGGACAAAACGCACCTTGGAAAATGGGATAAGTAAGTCTCTTTGTTCTTAGACAATGTAAAAACTGAACATTTAAAACTCACAAAGATAATCTGTGTTGTAAGAGTTACCAGACTTTCACTAAATATTTCTGATTCTATTTCTGAGCATGCCTTCACTGCTGTTCAGTTGAATAGGGCCGTGTGACTCTCTAATTACTGGAATGGGAGCAACATACCGTGCCACTTCAGAATGGGAATCAGGGTACAACTTACCTTGCTCCCTTTCTCTGTTTCCACAGTCAAGGAGGATGGAGCCTGCCTTGGCCTGGATCCCTGAGTGAGGACAGTACAGAGAAGTGCCCTGGCTGTCCCTTCATGTTTTAAACCACAGATGTCGGGAGGGATGGATGCTACAGCAGCTTATCCTGGGCTCTCCTGACTGATTCTTATGAGCAGTCTGATAATTGCCCACCATCTGGCAGAGAGGCTATGCCGAGGTATACAGCACACTTTTCTGTCATCAAGTGTGTGGGTTATCAGGATGGTCTGCTACATACAGGATCATCAGTTAGAATCAACACTGTTTAAAAGGACACCCAATTGCCTCACCCCGTGTCCCTATTCAGCATGGAAGAAGCCAGAGCAGTCTGCATCCCGATTCTGTCAGCAATTCGGGTAACCTCTTCAGAGGATGGTGTGGTAAGAATAGGAGGTAGGAATTGGCTAGGCAGTTAGGGTAAAAAAGACACCAAAGAAAAGTAACCAGTTTCTTGGCTAAAAGTCAAAATGTCCTTGGGCCTCTTAGCAACAAACTCTGTTCCAAAGGCCAAAAATGTCAAAAGTATTTGGGAGTTCTTATCTAATCCCTAAAAGATTTTAGGGTTACCTCTTCAGAGGGGGGAAGGTTAGAGTAGCAAAAAGCCCCATTAAAAAAAGAAAGAAAGAAAGAAAAGAACGCAAAGTTGTCAGAAAAAGTGATGGGGAGACATGGGAGGAGTCGGAGGGGAGGAGTGGGCGTGGATTTGATCAAAACACCTTGTATGCATGTATGAAGTTCTCAATAAAGTTTTTTTTAAGTTAAAAAAATAAAAGGACACAGGCAAAAGGGCTTTTGTGGAATCTACTCATTAAGGGAAAAGGAATTGTGCAGAGCAGGATGGGCTGAGACTATATTAGTAAGGTGTCATTTAGAGATGGCAGCAGCAAGATGGAATTGCTCAGATGACTCTACCCAGATTTGACAAGAAACAAGTGACATCTCGCTGGTATACCTGGCATGGCATTTAGTAGTAGTACGCAGGCATGTGACCAAGGTCAGAGTCATCCTTACAGTGCTATGAAAGTCACAAAAGAGTAACAGAAACTCATGCCCTATAATTGAAGGGCTTGGTGGCACTCCATGAAAAAAAATTAAATTCCCCTGTCCCTACTTATACATCGTGCAAAGGCCAACTTCCAAAGACCAAAAAGTCGAGGCTCCTGGGAAGTTCTTGAACTTCCTTAATGAGCACACCTGTGATCTTGCAGGTCAGTCAGGACCTTTGGGGAAGAATGACCAGACAGCCAACCCAGCTATCTCTTCTTTGTGTTTTGGGGCTCTGTGCATATCTATATATCTTTCCGTTTATCTTCTACCTATCTGTCTACCCATCTGTCCATCTCTATCTATCTATCTATCTATCTATCTTCTATCCATCTATCTATCCAGCCATCCATCTAACCATCCATCTATCCATCCATCCATCCATCCATCCATCCATCCATCCATCCATCTTTCCACAAAGGTATTGGGACTGCCAGTGTCCTGCTGCCCTTGACAAGCAGGAATGACCTCTGACCTGTGACTATCTCCTCTGTTAGCATCACAGTGGTCCTGAAAACATGGCTGACTCCAGGAGCCTTTCAACATCCCTGTTGAAAGTGCCCCCAGTCTTCCCTCCTTGCAGAGGTGGAGTGTAGCTCTGGGCCTCATGGTGAGGGAAAAAACAGAACGGATCTATCTTGTGCTTTTCCCTGACTCTTGGTTCTGCTATCCTGCAGAAAGCAGAGGAACAGGCGGTGGGAGTGAGAGTTCACCCCGATGCCAAACATGAGCTCAGGCCTGTCCTCTTCCCACACCTCTGCTGGAGGCCAGGTCAATCCTGAGTCCTCCAGGGAAGTCCTGCCCTGGAAGTATCTTCCACATTTCTCATCCTCCTCATTTCCTCATTCTCATCTTCCTCATTTCTCATCCTCCCCAATCCATGAAGCTTGTGACAGTCCTCTACAAAATAATGGCTTTTAGTAAGACCCTTAACTGCTTTGAGTAGAAATACATCCCCACTAATGCAGCCCAAGCCCAAGCTGCATAGGAGGTCTCGAGAAGCTGCCACTCTGGCCCTTCAAGAAGACAACTGGGGAAGGAACATAGCTCAGGGCCTGGAGTCAGAAAATCTGAGGGTGACTCACACTTACCTTTCCCAGATGGAAAGGACTCGCAAGTTACTGAACTCCTCCTGGGCCTGAATCCATACTCAAGACCTGAAACAATGGTACCCAAGTCATTGAGAATTAACCATGACGGGGCCTGTGGCACAGCAGGCACAGCAGGCACAGCATGTGGTACAGAAGTATGCAGCAAACTAGCTATCCTCACTGTCCTCTTTTCTAAAACTGAAGAATTGGTTAGGGGACACTGGATGATGAGGGCTCTGTGTGACCACAGTCGAGGGCTCAGACCCTTTCCCAGGAAAGTCTTACTGGAGAAAAGGTTGATGGGGGATCTTCAAGGGAAATTATCTTCTGTGCATCTGCAGAGAACAAGGTCAAGAATACATACAAAGGAATCTGGAGAATGTTCTTAAGTGGGTGGTCACAAAGGTCATTTCCAGGGACAGCTACACATGGAGAGAGGGCAGAAAGAAATGATCCCAGTCACTGGAAATCCAGGCACCCGACCCTGTTGCCAATCCCTACCCTGAAGTCCTCCTCTCTGTAGGGCTGAGGTGTGGACTGCACAAACCGTCCTGAGGGTCTGCATGCCAGCCTAGGGTCCAGATAACGCTCAGCACAGTCACACTCTCCAGCCTGAAGCTATAGAATCAGTTTGTCCCTGGTCTTGCTCCCAAACTTCTGCCAGCTATTTTCCAGTGCTGGCTTGAGGGGAGGACCCAGAAGGAGGGCACTTCGGGGCAGCAGCAAGAATTAAACTGCACACACTGTAAGCAAGGACCAAGAGCATCAGTGGCCTCCTCACAGGAAGTACATACCACCTGGGAACCCCTGTTGGGTTTCCCACTGCTGCTTCATTAACAGCAGCTGAGACTTTACAGGATCAGAGCTCAAGCACACAGGCCAAGGAAAACCAAGAAGCCTTCAAGGAAATGAGCCTTTCCTTCAGAGAAGGCCACCAAAAGAAAGAGTCACCAGCTTCCAAGGTTTACTCATTTTTATTTTTTTATAAAACAAGCTACAAACACCAGCCTTCCCTCCCTCCCTCCCTCCCAAGGGAAAGCCACACAGCACAGCCCACTAGCAAATGTGAGAAAGTTGCTGGGCAGATTCTGAACTCTACATGCCTTCTCTGTGCACATGTTTGGGACTGGAATCCCCTGTGAGGTCCATCCAGCTCCAGCATATTGTGGGTTTTGGTTGAGGCTCCAAGAGAGGGCTTCCTTTCCACCTTACCATATCAGGAAGGGAATGCTGGTCATCCTGGGTCAATCTGTGTGACTTTCTCCAGAATAGCAGGAACCTTCTGTAGCCTGAGCCTTCATCAAATCAAGTCCTAAGGAGGCCGAGCTGCCTACACTGGGACAATACTGATGGGGCCAATACTTTTCAGATCCCAAAGAGAATATAGCTTTCCAAGGCAGATGTACTTACAGGGATACCGGGATAGGGTAAAGACAAAAACAGATCACCAAGAATTATCGAACAAAGGCAGCAGTCCTGGGCCTCTGACCTCTCTCACTGTCACCATGGCTGCCCTAGGGAAGAGCTCCTAAGTGTCACTTGCTGCTCTCACTAGAGACCACTGGAATGGGCATGTCACCTGGGAATAAGAAGACGCATATCTGCCCTGAAGGCTGAGCAGTCACTCTGTAATCCCAGTGACACTCTGCAGTGGGAGGCCTAGGTTTCCCCACAGCTGAGTTGTTATTCCTGTTCCTCGGGGGGAGGCAAAAGTAGAAGACACAACATCAAATTTACTTCTGGAATTGGTCCTTAGGCCTGGAAGTCCATGAGAAGGTTGAAGAGATAGGAGGAAGAGCCCCAGTATTGGGTTAAAAAACAATAAAACTGTGGCATCACCAACAAGGTGACTGACCCCCGGGTTTATGCAAATAGTGAGGATGAGGGTAAAATAGAGTGGGAGGACATAGAGGTAAAACCCAGTGTGACTCCAGCACTGGGAGAGCTGTGCTTGGGGGGCCTCACTTGTGGGTTTGCAGAAGGGCTGGTGCTATCCTAATCTGGGCAAGCCTTCTGTCCTTGTCCCTGACTTGCTCAGATGCCAAGCACCTACTGAACTTTGTCCAGCTATGCGTCTTTTTCTTTTCATGCTCTGTGTCTCCCCTCTCACACTCTCCATGGAGTAGGTGCTAAACATGGAAGGAAATGTTTAAACTGGTCTAACTCCTTTAATGATCATTTGTTCACCCTACCTATCCTAACTCCCCCAGGGATCTGGATAGCAAGAACATACGGGTTACTGGAGAATTAGAACTTACACTGGACATCACATGAGCTAGGTTTGCCTCCTCTCTAGGCCCAATTCCCAACTATCCCTGACTCCAAACATCCCTTGAGAAGGCCAAGGGCTGGACTGTGACAGCTGGTGGCCTGGGGAAGTGCTGTTCTCCCACCAGAAAGGAGCTGATGGCATCCACAGCACAATCATCCACACATACAGAATGAGTCTCCAGTGAAATTCAGGTAAGGTAAGGGTACAGTCCTAGGTTCTAGAAACTGGGCTCATGAGTCCGGAGTAGGGAGAGGAGGGGAAATGAACAAAGAGCAATGCCAACACCTGTACAAAAGAACTATACAATTTACATATATATTTATATACAGTATATAAATCTCTTTCCTCTCAATCCCAACACCACCCCCCCAATAACCTAAAAGTTGTCAGTAGCAGATCCAAAAACTTACAATAAGAGAGAATAAACAGTCCTTACTCCTTTTCCTTTTCCCCACTGTGGTATTAGATATTGGTGTTTACAAATGAAAACAGAAACAAAACCCACAAATAAGAGTTATTAAAAGTGCAAACATGGTGGGCACCACTTATGTTACATGGGCTGTGGCTGGGCCACAGGCAGCGCTGAAGGTTGGGTGTCTGATGGTCCATCCTGTCTTCTTGGACTCTCCACTGGCCCTCTGAGTATTTCTGCTCTTTAAACAAGGCGTCCTACTGGGAGGGGAAAGGATAGTGCAAAAAGAAAAGCTGTGTGAGCGAGAAGTTAGAGTTGGGTATATGAGCATGCAGCGACATAAGCAAATCTCTACACAGAGGCAGTCAACAGAACGACACCAGCCATTCCACAGATCTGCGCTGGATGGGCCATAGGTTGCTTAGACCTTCTAACATACATGTTTTACCAGCCTGTCCTTTGCTGTTCTGGGCAGCTCATAGCATCTGTAGTCAGTTTGCACTGAAGACACCTTGGCTTTACCTAATAAGCACATGGTGAGGGAGCATTCTGCACAGCTACTGCCCCAGCCTGAAGCTGGGGAGGAAATGACATGTTTATGTCAGGTGGGGATGACTCTTGGCACTGACCCCATCCTCCTCTTCTGTCCTCAGCAGACACTGAACATGGAGCCTTAAGTGATCTGGCCAATCGCTTTATCCACTGTGCCACCACAGCTTCAGCAGGGGTCCAGAGAGGAAACGGGGAGCCCAGAAAGAAGGCAACTTACTGAATGGGTTTGTGCCTGCTCGTTTTCCCTGGGGGAAGCTGCCAAGGCTACCACCTGCAACAAACAGGAACATATAACATGGGGAGAGGCCTTGACCACAGAGCTGCCAGAGCTGTTTCTATTATCTGAGTCCCTGTCCCCTCTGTCTTCAGAAAGGATAAGCTTGGGAGAGAGCCAGAAGTGGTGTGGCTGTGCTCCCTGGTCTGTGGCTGCCTGTTGTCATGGTCTGCCTGGGTAAACCCATTGCCCAAAACCTTTAAAGAGTCTCTTCTCTATAGGTCAGGCTGGGGTACCTCTTCGGTTGGTTGCTATTGTTGACACAGAGTTTTCTATGTAGTTCAGGCTGACCTTGAACTCACATAAGTAACTGAAGCTCCTAGCCTTAAACTCATCATCCTCCTGCCTCCATCTTCTGACTGTTGGTGTTATACATATGCACCACCACACCTCACTTGGGATGCCTCTTTGGACTTCTCTCAGCTACTTCCTAAGAAGGACTTCATTGAACATTACTATAACCTTCTTGGTTTTGATTTTCTAAGTCCTATAATGTCAGAGGTAGGAGGGAATCTTTCACTTGATAATAATGTCAATGACAATCTGGAGGCAAAGGCTCAGAGTGACTTGCACAAAGTCCAAGACTCATTCTGCTGACACTCCTGTGCACAGGGAGCTGAGCAGTTTTGCAGGTTGGCCATGGCTGCTCGTGCAGGGCCCAGTCTCCTAAAGGAGGAGCAGAAAGCTGGGGGGAACATACTAAGAGCTGGGCCTGCTCCTTGTGTCTCTGAACATAGCTCTGGACTCCTCTGGTAGGACCGGAGGATGGAATTAGGACACCTGTGCTGCTGCCACCCTGCTTCCCTTACAGGCTCACCCTAATGATTGGCTAAATTCATGAAGGAGAAAGATTTGCAGATTTGGGACTACTGAGTCCAAGCTCACATGTGGATCATATGACCCCACAGTTAAGCACTCACCGATATTTTTTAAGACCCAAGAAGGACAGAACATTAAATGGGGTGAACACATGATAGATGCTGGTAGTTTGCAGATGAGGAACACAAACCAAGAATGGTAAGAGGGATGGGCCCAAGGCAGGCAGGTGGGAAGGGGTAGAGCCTGGCTGCCTGATGCTGCCTCTGATCCACACAGCAGCTGGCAGCTGTTCCTCTCAGTGATGAACATAAAGATCTACTTACAGAAAAGGGCCTGCAGCAGTCCTGACCCCTCATCCCAGGTGAGATCCAGAAAAAAAAAAAAAAGAGAGAGAGAGAGCCAGGAGTACATCCCTGCATCTCAGAGCAATTTTATATAATAGGAGTGAAAATTATCCCCATTTTATGATGTTAAAACAGGTTTGGCAATGCTTAGCAACCTATACAGGATGGCACAGCATTCATGAGAGAAAGCAAGTTCAGACCCAGCTGTCCCTCTAGACCTAGGCTCTGGACTACCAGGGCTGAGGAAAAGGATGGGCCTGAGGGAAAGCTGGCACTTCTGAAACACTGAATCGTTAGCCCTCATATGCTTGCCTTACAGGATGGTGACAATAATTCTAACGAATGTACCTTTTGAGTCGGAAAAGACCAGTAAAGAAAAGGCCCAGTCCTCTGAACATCAGGCCTCATCATGCAAGGCAGAGAATTCGGATCTCCAGTAAGAGACCTAGGTGGTAAAGGATGCTGTGTTCATGCGTGGTTCCCAGTATTTTGATCCCTCTAATTCAAAACTACACTCATCCTCAAATTCTACAGCCTCTCCCCACCCACCCACCTGGGGCCCCACCTAGCATGCAAGCCCCTCTCAAGCCACCAGAGGGCACCACATAACACCAGATGACCTGTGCATGGGCACCTAAGCTTTGCGCCACCCAGAGCAGAGACAGAAGGAGGCTGCCAACGGTGTCTCAGGCCCCTGGGTAGAGTCCTCTGCTACTGACAATTTCCTCTGTGCATTCACTATGCGCCAGCACTATGCTCCACCCTTCACATGTATTATCTTGTTAAATTCTCACATGAAATCTACAAGGTAGAGACTACCACCTCCATTTTGCAGAGAAGGAAACTGAGGTCCCGCAAGATTAAGTAACTTGCCAAAGATGACAGAGCTAAAATTGGCAGAGCTGGGGTTAGGAGTCAGGTCTATCTGATGTCAAGGCCTCTGCCCTTGCCTACAACCCTATGTTTGGACCCCAAGACCCTCTATAGTCCTCTGTTTTCATATACGCATCATATGCCTGGGAACCTTGCCTTCCCCTTCATGAGGCTGGCAACACAGCTCCCAGAAGCTTCTACACCTGCTCACTGAGCCCCAAGACTGCATCATTTCCCACTGCCCCTAGGCCCCCCATTGGCCATTTTCTTGGCTTCCTCAGGCAACAAGGCTGGCCTGCTCCCAAGAGACGCTGTCTTCACTCTGGAGTCTTTTTCCTGGAGGGCCCAGCAGCTGGGCATCTGAGTCAAGAACTGGGAAAGTGCTTCCCTCTAGTCCAAACTCTCTCTCTCTCTTTTTTTTTTTTTTTTTTTCGGTCTTTTGATACAGGGTCTCCGTAGCCCCAGCTGTCCTGGAACTCACTCTGTAGACCAGGCTGGCCTTGAACTTCACAGAGATCTGCCTGCCTCTGCCTCCCAAGTGCTGGGATCAAAGCATTTGCCACCACACCCAGCTTAGTCCAGACTCTTAAGTGCAAAATAATAGAAGCCTTTGGGCTCCAAACTCCAGGAACAGTGTGTGCCATGCTCTGTGCAGAAAGGGATTGGAAAGAGGGATCCTGCTGTGCTCCCTCTGGGCTTTCCATCTGCTTTGCCCACTCTACCCTACTGGTTAATGCTACCTGCCCCTCTTCCTCATATACCAATGCTCTGTTCTCCCCCACCCAATCACACACACATACACACACACACACACACACACACACACACACGCACACATGATGCTTCAAGACAGTTATAGACATGCACACATTTATACCCACATAGAAAGAGATGCTCACAGGCAGGTGTGTACTCAGGCATGCTTACAGAGACACACCAAAAGAAATATGCACATTACAAACACATTCAGAGACATGTATAGACACAGGTGATTCAGCCACACTTTCAACCGGGCAGTGTTCAGAAGTCAACAATGGCCCCAAATCTCCCTGGCCTCCCTAGTGCCACCTCTGGAATGGGAAGATCAGGAAGGTAAGTTGGGCTGAAAAGCAAAGAAGCACCTTGGGAGTCTCTGTGGGCAAAACTGAAGATGACTTGAAACTAGAGTCTACACCCGGCTAAATGTGGGTTGAAGGAGAATCCAGATGACCAGTGCTCCTTAAATCTTCCATCCCACTTCACAGCTTCCCCTGGATGCTTCCTATAGGTCCTGTGCATCAGCTGGAATTGGCAGACATGTGGTGCCTGGCAAGACTCCAGAGGGAGGCTAGGAAGGCTTCATGAGCTCAGTGGACCAAGTCAACACCCTGTACCTTCCCTTGGCTTCTGGGTGCTGCACAGAACGGAATTCCCAGCACAGGAGGGAGATGGACTGAGACAGAGTCAGGCCTCTGCAATTCCATCTCCACTCAGCGCCCAGTGTTCCTGGATAGACCTGGGGTCTAACGTTAACACTGGAAAGTCTCTTTCCAATATGATCTTCCTATTCCAGCAGCTCCCCACTACCTTTATAAAGCCTTCCATCTGAATTCAAGGGCCCTCTAACCTTACCTTGCCTCTCGTCACCCCTCCCTACTGTTCCTATGGTCCAATGACTAAGCTCCAGGCAGACAAATATGAGGAATAATGTGTGGGTTCCTTCTAAAACTGTTCCATAAAATTATCTCACAATCTATCTAGTGGTCAGGAATAAAGCTGACCCCACAGTATCTTAGAACCAGCCAATGAAGATGGCAGAGTCACTCGCAGCCTGGTTCCTATTCTTTTTCCTACAAAACACACACACACACACACACACACACACACACACACCATAACCTAGAATCATGTTGCCCTATTCCATTAACAAGATAAAAGATATGGTTCTGTTGAGCCATGACATGTGAGTCCATTTATTACTTACTACAGCCTGGCCTCCCCTAACTAATAGACTCTCACAGCAGTGTTAACAATACGTGAACACTTATTTATGTCTTCTCAGTAGACTGTGTAAAGAATAGGAACCTTGGGGCTGGAGAGATGGCTCAGTGGTTAAGAACACTGGTTGTTCTTGCAGAGGACCTTGGTTTGAATCCCAGCACCCACATGGTAGCTAACAACTGTCTGTAACTCCAGTTCCAGGGGATCTGACAGCCTCTTCTGTCCTACGCGGGCATTGTACAGCACGGGTGCACTTACCTGCACACGGGCAATACACACATGCACATAAAATAAAAATAATAAATAAAATATTTTTTAAAAGATTTAAAAAGAATAGGAACCTTATCAGTCAATCAGCTCTCACTGTAGCAGACAGCTAGCTTGACTGACAGCATACACCGAGTAAATAATTGTTAAGTATCTGAATGCCTTAGGATGACGTTTCTTAGGACAGCCTTGGCTCCTGTGCCTGGGTGGGGCAGGTATTAAGAGACCAGGAGCTCGGGGATAGCACTCACCTTCTTTGCTGACACCCAGGCAGCCCTTCAGCTCCAGCAGTGAAATGACCTTGTCCTTGTTCAGGTCGCAGTAGTCAGTGAAACGCCGAGCGCATTTCTTGGGCTTGGCTTTCTTCTTCACGTAACGCTTGAAAGGCTTCATCTCACGCTTGTTAATGTCACTGCTGCTGTTGCTGTCGAGCTGGCTGAAATACCAGTGCACCACTCGTTCCTCCAGGGTGTGGCTGGGGTCTGGCTCTGAGAACCTGGGTCACGGACAGACACCCCCACCCCACAGAACACCACTCAAGATCTTGCAGGAGCCATCAGCACCACTGCAATTCTCTGCCAAATGGCCAAATGCCTTGGTACTTGCTATGCTTTTTCTCTGCCAAAATTCATATTGAAGTTGGTTGACAATATATCTGTGTTGGGAGGTAGAAGCAGAATCTTTAAGGGGGATTCATTGCCTTCTCGAGAGACTGGATCAGCTCTTGTGGGAATGGATTAGTTCTCTCCAGAGCAGGTTGTCAGGAAGCACATACCTTCCTCCCCGCCCCCTCTGCGTGTTTCTGCTTCTACTTTCCATTGTGAGCTGGTTGCAGCTGTCAGAGGCCCTCCTAGAAGCCAAAGACGCTGCCATGCTCTAGGACTTCCAGAACCATGAACCAAGACAGTCTTCATGCTTGGTTAGCAGGAGTCAAGTAGCAATAACTCTTTTCTTCTGAGTCTCCAAGTAAGTGACCATCATTTCATGCCTCACCCTCTGCTATAGCCAGGAAGTTCTCATAGAGACAGGTGGATTTAGTCCACATGAGTAAGCCACAGCTGGGATCTAAATTGCCCTTCTCTTAACTCAGAGCTCACTATCAGACAAGATGCTCTCTTATGCCTGTGACTGGGAACCAGTATTCACTACACACCCAGGGGCAGGCCAAGTCCTGAGAAGGTGCCCAACTGGAGGCATAACTCTCACTTCAAGCTGTTCACTGTCTCGGAAAGCAGGGTCAAAATGTGAAGACGGTGACAGATGTGATGTGTGGTGTTCCCATGGCTCATCATTGCTGAGTACCAACTACACCCAGAATTGAGAGAAGTCAGTCAACCCATGTGGCACAAATATGGATTCTTTCTTTTTCTTTTTCATGTGTATGTATGATGCCCACATGTGTATATTCAATTCATGTTTGCATATGTATGGGCACATGTATGTGCATGTCTGAATATGTACATGTCTATGTATGCCTGTGGAAGCCTGAGGTTGAAGTCGGGTCTTTCCCAATCTCTCTCCACCTTATTCATTGAAGCAGAGTCTCCCCACTGAATTCCCAGCTCCTCCATTCAGTCAGCTAAACGAGGGTGTTCCTTGTTTCTACCTGCTGAGCACAAGATTTACACATAGGCCAAGTATCCACTACATACCCAGTGGCAGGCCAGGTCCTGAGAAGATGCCCAACTGGAAGCTAAGCCCACCCAGCATTTTACATGGGTTCTGGAGATCCAAACTGCAGTCCTCATGCTTTCTGCTGTGTGGCAAGTGCTTTGACTGTGGTGCCATCTTCCTAGACCCAAATGTTGATTCTAAAGCAAGCAAATCCCAGATCTACTGGGGTGAGTCTCTACAACCTCAAGTTTCCAGTCAGGAGGTCCAAGGTGGGCCCAGAAGATCACATGTTAACCAGAACCCCTGGCTAATTCTTCTGAGAAACACTAGAAAGACCAGGAACATGTCTTGGTGTCCAGATACACAGTAATGACCATGTTTAGCACAGTCCATGTATCTCTGATGACCACAAAGTAACGAAGTCAATGTCTAGGCATATGGCATATGACTACATGCAATGACCTGACCATCTATTTGATTATTTATTTATTTATTTGTATATCATTTTTCTCAAAGAAGTAGAATGATACTAACATTTACAATTTTAAAGCCAATGATGGGTCTAGTCCAGAGGGGCTGGCTGGAGTTTCTGACCAAAAAAAAAGAGACAGACAAGTCTCCTGGTTCTGTTACTGGGGCTTAACAGTGAATGTGGTCTAGGACCCATGTTCAAATGCCTAGGTAACTTGCCCTTGGGGAGGGGAACATAAGTTGGGGTTGAGGTCCCAAATATTCAAATGACTGGTATGCAGACTAGGACATAGCTTGCACTGGAGGTGCTCACTATCACACAGGGACCACAGACCAGGCGAGCAGCGCCTGCTAGTACATTCTGAAGCCAGACCTGGCTTTTTAAAATAAAATGTCAAGGCACTTGCTGATACTACTCTCTTGGGGTTGCTAAGCTTTCGAGAGGGGAGTGAACCAGTTCTGATGCCTGCCCTGAAGCAAACCAGCAAACACCTTTCCCACCTCACACCTCCTCCCAAGTGACCTAAAGTTCAAGCAAAAATAAGTTTCATTATATTTTTTTAAAAAGCCAGCCACTGCTAGCTGTTCATTCCATTCTTAATGAGACAGACTTCAATCCTGGGTAAGCCCCCTGGGCATCCCATATGGATTCCAAGGAAGAAAAACTGGCAAACACATCAGTAGGATCTCATCCTGACAGTTTCTACCCAGAGAGGACCTAGGAGGAAGGCATGAAGGAGCCATGCAAGGCTGCCACCAGCCTCAGACTCCCTGAGAATCTGCTTAGTCTGCCACAGAAACCAGGTGTGACACTCAGTGTCCCTGCCCATATTTGGGCATTGTTACTCTTTATTTATTTACCTGCAGTACACACTGGGTAGGCAGGCAGAAAACTCAGTAAGGATGCTCTGGGTGCAGGAAGGGGAGCATTAGGGAGGACTCTGGCTCTGGAGGAGATAGGAGGCCTGAATAGGTGCTTCCACAGCAGCTCCTGCCAAAGGCTCTCTCAGGAGAAGTAGCAGGGGCCTTCCCCCTCACTTCTGCCAAGGAACCATGAGAGCCCCAAGGCAAAGGCAGCTCTTCCTTTAACCTTTAGGCTCGGCATAGCGTAACGTCTACCTAGAGGCTGGAATAATAAAGCCTCAGTCACTGAGACGGGAAAGGATGAAGTCATCCCACCCAGAGGCCCCGCCAGGGAAGGCTCTCTCCCTCTAACACGTGTTTCTGGAGCTCTGTTCTGTCTGCCTGTCTGTTTTCAGCAAGTCCATGGTCAGAGCTCTCTCCACCTTCCTTCAGGCTATTTTGCAGCAAGCAGTTCTTCCTGGCTTGCAACTTCTAAGAGCTGGCTAGAGAGTGACCATCACCAGCCCCTGTGGTTTCCCTCCGTGGCTCCCTTTTCCTGTTCTCCCATCTCCCGCTAGTACCTCCCAGTACAGAGCAGACCCTACTTCCCACTGCTAGTCTACATACCACTCTGCTTCCTGCCGGCCCATAGCAGGGTGCTGGGCTGAGACATCCAGAGCACCTTTCTCAGGAAAGGCCCTCTGAGGCTGCCTCCAAGCCCCTGACCTACAGCCTGCCTGTGGAGGCCAAGGCTCTGCCTCTGTCCCAGTTATCATGAGGCTCTGCTTTTGAATTCCTTTGACCTCCAGAAGTCCCCTTAAGTAACAGGGCCCAGTTCTACTTGGGATGCTGGGTAATGCCAGGGCCATATTTAGGAACCTAATACCAGGTCAAATTCCAAGCACCTTTACCCTTCTGATCTATGAGCAGTCCAGGGATAGCCAAAATAGCACTGAGAAGACACCAGGAACCTCTGTTAACTAAGCTTTGCCAAGGTATTCCAGTAGCTTCTCAAGCCATCTGTGCCAGAGACCCTCCTATCACAGACTCACCACCAGTATACCTTACCTCAGAGTCATACCCCACTGGTCCTTCCAGCCTTTGCAACTTCCTGGAAACATCCCCTTTTTTTAAAAAAAAACATTCATTTATTTATTTATATGCATGGATATATGTGTGTGGGTGTGCATGCCACAGCATGCATGTGGAGGTCAGAGGATAACCTGAGGGATTCAATTCTCTCCTTTCATCATGTGGGTTCCAGGGATGCAACTCTCATCATTAGGCTTGGCAGCAAGCACCTTCATTCGCTGAGCCATCTCACCTGTCCTCTGGAGGTATCCTTCTGAAACATCTGCAGCTGGCACTAGAGTTTTAGGCTGACATTGGCAAATACTCAGTCTTGCTCTCTCATTTGTGCAAAAACACCCCCACTGAGGCAGGACTGCTTGGTTCAGAGTTGCTCATTGGACAGGAGATAGAACCCTAAACCGCAGGATGCAATGGCTCCTTAAAATCAACTTCATTCACTGGTGCCTATTATAAACCCTCCACTGGTAAAGTTTGACTTCTAAAACAGTTACGAGGATAGGTAAAATGCCTGGTTTTCTTTAGATATAGTGTGGAAAAGATGCACTCAAATGACACCCGATTCTAGATTCAGGAAGACAGTGGTTTAGTACAACACTGGCATCTGTCCTGCCTCTGCCTTTGGGCTGTTTTAGTGACTCCCACCTTCAGGGATGAGGAAACCCACTAGAGCCAGGTCCTTCCCTGAACAGACTCTCTCAGCCTTCTCCCAATTTTAGGGGTGTCAAAAGCCACCCTTCTACAGCACTTTCAGTTTTGATTCTGTGGCCTTGGCCCTGCCAGGTCTTGGCTGCAACGCATAGCTGGAGAGCCAGTCCATTTACCACAACCTGCTTTGGCCAAGATCTGGGGCCCAGTTCTGCTGTCCTAAGCAGTTTTAGAGAAGGTAAGGAGGGCCAGCCCGGAGACCTGAGCCAAGTCAAGCAGACTGATTGAGCCCCATCTGGAGCTTGGTCCAGGCCCCACCAGCTGTGTGGGTGGGGCTGGGAAATGCCAAGTCAGCCACATTCCAGCCTCTTCCTTGAAAAGCTATCAACAGACAACCAACTGAACTGAGCAGAGAGGATGAGGCCACTCCATGGGCAGTCTCTCAGGGAGCATGTGAACAGCCAGGAGGCTCACACAGATAAGGCTGGTTCTCCCTAGAGTGGTTGGAGCAAGGAGAGGGTTTCCCCTGCCCTAGAGACTGCCAATTAGATGCTTGATGTCTTCCCTCTAGACTGATAGGGTCTAAGGTATATGGTGGATGACTGACCCAAAGGGAACTGCTGTCTCCTGGAACTCTGGTAGGGGGGAACTAGGGGGTATAACTCAATCATCCAGCAAGCATTCAGTGAGGACGGCTGTCATCCTATGACGTTTGAGGGTGCCCCCGCCATGCACCAGCCACAGATGTTTCCATAGACAATCCATTCTACTTTGTTTATTTTTAGATTTAGGCAGCACTGCTTTTCACCACTGAATCAGGCTAGGAGGCCA